TCAGGCCTAATTAGACAGTATTCACAAAGCTTTGTTAAAAACACTGATATGATCTAAATAGAATAGATATCATAAGGCTTCTAATATCTAGTGAAATAGCGTTAACGAAAAAATTCGATTAAACTAATAGATAGTAGTAACCTTTTTATTTTTCCAAAATAGTTGCCTTATTTACTAACGAACTAGAAAAAACATCAAACATAAGCGAACAATACTAAAACTTGTTTAAAGCAATTGTATTTGTTTAAGTTTGATGATTTCATCTTTAGTTAAGAAAATATATAAAAGATCAACAACATAATATAATTTTCGAAAATTCTAATAGGTAGTGGAGCAAGTAATGGAATTGGTGTAGCTGGTTTCGAATTAAGCGTATGTTGAAAGTTGAATAGATCATTCCAATAAAATTCATCGTAAATTTAGGCTATTTACGTATTAATGATTCTCGGTTGGATATTTTTACCTGTGTATATCAAAGCTGATGTAAGCCATGTACAAATTTTCAATTTTATATATGGATCAAACAGTATTTTCTGAAAAAAATGTCTATTATTTTTTTTTTTTAATTAGGTTTATACAATGCCAGAATTTATAAAGAAAAGATTTGGTGGTGATCGAATACGTTTTTATCTTACGATTCTTTCTTTAATACTTTCTATATTTACAAAAATATCTGTTGATCTTTATTCTGGTGCTATATTTCTTAATCAAGCGCTTGGTTGGAATATGTATGTATCAATTATAGCTCTTATTTTTGTTGCTGCTATATTTACTATTGGTGGTGAGTTAAATAAAAATGCAAGAAAAAATAAATAAAACTTAATCTTCTGTATTATTATTGTTTTTTAAAGGAGGATTATCAGCTGTAATTTGGACAGATTTTATTCAAACAATTATTATGATTATTTCTGCTTTTATTCTTATGATTATATGTTGTGTTAAAGTTGGTGGCATACAATTAATTAAAGAACTTTATCCATATGCTGTTGCTAATACAACTTTATTTTCGAATATTACTTGTGGTATTCCACCGAATGATTATTTAAGTCTTATTCGACCACTTAATTCCGCTGATGGTCCACCATGGGTAGGAATTATTGGTATGATCACTTTAAGTATTTGGTACTTTTGTAGGTTAGTTATTGACAATGAAACAAAAATGAAAAGAATCATTTAATGCATATTTTATTTCTTTTTTTAGTGATCAAGTTAGTGTAAATGAAGAATTATATATAAGATAATTTTTAATGTTTAGGTTCTTGTTCAACGAGCACTTGCTGCTAAAAATTTAATCCATGCTCAAGCTGGTTGTATAGTTGCTGGTTATTTAAAATTTCTACCTCTTTTTATTATGATTATTCCTGGTATGGTTGCACGAATACTTTTTCCAGGTAAAATAAAAACTCATCGCAAAAAAAAATAATTAATACTCATTATTTATTAAAATTATTTTTTTTATTTTATTTTTTCTATAAGATTTAATTGGTTGTTCAACTCCAGACTCATGTCAAGAAATATGTGGAAATAAAGCATCATGTACTGATATTGCTTATCCATTAATTGTTATTAGATTAATGCCGAATGGTTTACGTGGTCTTATGTTTGCTTGTATGATCGCAGCATTGATGTCATCATTAACATCAATATTTAATTCTTCATCAACTATATTTACAATTGATATTTGGCAACGTTTTCGTTCAAAAGCACCACAATGGGAATTACTAATTGTTGGAAGGTAAAAATTATTGAAGAAAAACAAATAAAAAATGAATTTTTTTCTTGTTTTATTGAAAGAATTTTTACATTGATTCTTGTCAGTATATCAATTCTTTGGATAGAGATAATTCATAAAGGACACTCAAGTAAAATTGTTCTTTATCATTCTTATCTATGTTCCGTTGCATCCAAAACTAAATCTCACTCACAAATTCCAGAGCTCAGGTAGTATGTTACCCTTAGTGTGAAAGTAAGCGTGTGTAGTGTACAGAAACAGTATAATAAAACCCTTATTTGCAACCTGCTGATAAACTAAAACACAAATAAACGAATTTTTTAATAGGAGCATCACTTAACATTGATCAACTGAAATATAAATCAACATTGCTCGATTTTTTATTTTGTTAACATGAAAATATTCTTCATATGAAATTGCTTTTCAAGGTTTTTAAGCCATCCCTTTCCATTTGTTCTCTCTGTATCTGGACGCGTTTTATGAATGTTTTCATACCAATTATATCAGCAGCACAAGGTGGAAAATTATTCGATTATATTCAGTAAGAGGAAAACGAAATTTATTCGAAAACGAAAAAAAGAAAATTGAGTTTTGGTTTTAGAGCAGTAATAAGTTTTCTTGCACCACCAATTTCTGCTATTTATCTTTTAGCAATTTTATGGAAAAGAATTAATGAAGAAGTATGTATGATTTTAAAAACAAAAAGTAACAGTTTTTTATTTTTCTCTGAAAAACTCTTCAGGGTGCGTTTTGGGGTTTAATATGTGGTTTAGTTATTGGTTTAATACGTTTTATATGGGAATTTTCATATTCAGTACCACCATGTTTACTATCAGCAACAGATCGACGTCCAGAAGCAGTCAAATTTCATTTTCTATTTTTTGCTATTTTACTTTTTATTTTAACGTGTTTGGTTGCAATAACTGTCAGTCTTCTTACTCGACCCATACCTGAACAATGTGTATGTTATTCGTTTTCTTTTTTGAACCTTATCAAGAAATTAGGTTTTGAACATTTTGTTTTTCTTTCAAGTTACATGGTTTAACTTTATTTGATTTGGATAACCCACTGAAACCAATACCAATACCAACAAAACCTGGTCGATGGCATAAAGCAGATACAGCATTTGAAGAAAAACATATTCGACCAAAATCATCTGTTCATCCGATATCACGTGCTCAATCTGCTGCTGATTTGCGAAGAAATAGTCTTCTTTATCCAGGTATAGAAAATGAAAAATTCTTAGGTTTTTCCTTGAGTATTATAGTTGTAAGTGTATATGTATAGATCCATCAAATAAAAATTGCACATATTATTTAAAAGTTGCTTTCACATGGATATGTGGTATTGAGCATCAAGGTGAAGATGATTATAAAGCAGCAGTTATACCAGTAATGTCATCATTAACACCGAACGAGCCATTTTGGAAACATGTATGCAATATAAATGGTGTTGTCATTTTAGCTTTTTGCGCTTTTATTTGGGCATTCTTTACCGATTATCGTATTGATAAAATGCATAGAAATGCTTGAATATAAAATTATATTGATTGAACGATAGATTTTTTCTGAGTTTTCTCCTTTTCTATGATACATATATATGCATAAAATAATTTTTTGCTTTGTACAATACTTATTGTATATCGATTCCATCGATTATGTGTATATGCTTACAATATGTAAGTAGAAACCAAGCTATTACACGATGCATTTGGTTCATTGCTGTTGATTGAGTTGTGGTATTTGACTTTTGATTGATATTCTGAATATTTATCGTGATCCTTCGTGTATATTTGATTGAATGGTAGGAGTTTGTGTTCGATGCTAAATGGTTCGGTATTTCGTTGTGACGATGGTTTTTTTTTTGAGTTTCACAGGCAAGTCGTTTCCATTGCTCCGTTGATTCATTATGTTCATATAGGAAGAAAGTCACTTCTTTGAACTTGACGATAGTTTCTGATTTATTGTATTGCATGATGAACATAATCAATAATGAATAGGAATCAGTGATTTTCAAAATGATCTTTTGCTTAAAATAACGGAAACATTTGTTGAGAAGGCTAGAATATACAGTGGATGTGAGG